TCAGTCTCATTGTTTCTTTAATAGCTTGATTTTAATAACTATTTTTTCTCTTTTATAGTTTTAATGTTTTATATTCTCTATATTAGTTATAATTTTAGGTTTTCCGTTTATTATATATTATTTTTTAATGAGGTCCTTTTTGAAAATCATGATTATGAAAGTTATCTCAATAAAGATTATTATTATTAAATGTTTGGTTTTTCATATGAAACAACACCAGCATCATATTTGTGAGTTTTGCAGGCAGAGTCAGAGACACCCCAGCCAGGATGAGAACASCTYTGAAGTGAGGTCTCTGATCCTGTACAACCCATGTTATCTAGCCAGACTGGCCCCGTCCCTTTTCCACTGTGCCAAGGTCCTAGAGCTTTGGTAAAGCCAAGTTGTCGACATGCCACCCTGGCTTCCTCCATGTACCAGTAATCATGACACACTGTTCCCCATTGACCAATGTGGTAGACGAATTTGACTGCATGAGGTTAAATGGCAGAGCAATGTAATTTGCTTTTTGCTCTCGGGAATTAATTTCTTTCTCATGTAAAATGATTGTATTGTTCCTGTCATCTAACATGGCTGCCGTCATATGATGGTGCAAACCCTCAATTGTGAATTGTCAGAAGCTCAGAACTGCTTCGACAATGCTATTTTCATTTTCGTCGAATCCAAAGTTGAAGTCCACCTAGAGTACACGTGCATTAAACAAACTGATTGAAGTCAAGCGGTTTCGGTTTATCGAAAACCGCAGTAAAAAACTAAGAAATATAAGAGTAAGCAACTTCTTATTTGCAGTTAAGAACTAAGTTAGTAAGATTTGTTCACAATAGCTACTTCGTTGCCGTGTGGAATGGGCTCGGAAATCATATAAGAACATGCGTAATAGGTAAATTACGTGACTTGTATGAAACGACTGAAGAAGAGGGCCAATGGGTCTTCCACAACTTCAACTCGCGTAAAAAATGACCCTGCTCAACTAGAAGCCGTAAACAGTTATGYATAAAATCCAGAATTAGAACAGCTCTGAAGTGAGGTCTCKGATCCTGTACATGCTATGGAATTATCGTGTTACGTTCTTTTCCGAATTGCCTTATTCTATCTTTTACCTTTCTCTTGCCGCGACACATGGTGCCAAAATCACTGATTTTGAAATRCGACTAATTCCGTACCAGATGAAAAAACAGTTATATATAATATTATATTCCACCGAACACAAAAGAGCTATTTAYTGATTGTAATCTTGCAATCAATTATTCTTTGCCTGAAAGGTAACTAGAATGCACTATAGACCAGTATCTTAATAAGAAGATTTGCAGCATTGAAATTTGCAAAAACAACTTAATAAAAACGACTCACTTTAAGTGTTAGTACGGCAAACTAGTAAGTCTACCACAATGGTAAATGGGGAACAGTCTGTGATGATAACTGGGACATGAATGAAGCCAAAGTTGCATGTAGACAGCTTGGTTTTACCAAAACGTTAGGACTTTGGTGGTGGGGACGAGGGAYGGGAGCAGTCTGGCTAGATGGTATTGGATGTTCAGGTTCAGAGGCCTCACTTCAAAGCTGTTCTCACAATGGTTGGGGAACTGTTAGTTCTAACTGCAATGGCCACACTGAAGACGCTGGTGTTATGTGTTGTTCACTGCCAGTTTTTCAATACTTTACCAGAAGAAAGATCTTGGAAAACAAAATAGAACGAAGTAACTGTGAACAAATCTCACTAACCGAATTCTTTACCTTAGATTACAAGTCACTTTTATATTTCTAAAATATATATTCTAAGCCGTTTTTGTTTTAAGTTTGTTCATTCAAAGCATTTYATTGAGATAAATCACAGAGGTTTTTAAAGCGTTGTAAATTACGGCGGATTTACAAGCACTTCTGGGTCGTTACATGAGAGCGGGAGTATTATTTATGACATTATGTGGACTTAATAATAATTATTATTGATTAGAAAAAACATCATGCGACCTAAGAGCACCAGTTCTCAAATGCTTAAGTTGTCACGAGAACAYTTACAAATATTCACAACAATTTAAAATTAGAACTAATAATATAATCAATTGATAGTAACTTAAGTTAATTAACTCAATAGAGCGTTTTTCAAAGCGATTGTCGTAGTAACGCTAACAAGGTTTAGAGGACGCTTAAAGTACGTTTCYACATTTTTTTATCCAAGAAAATATAAGTTTCCCTGCTAGAAGAGTCTATTTTCCTTTCGTTTTGGATGGATTAGGTTCTGAATGTAGGACGTTTCTTTTGATAAACCGCCGTTCACGATSGAGGACCAACGAAACCAGTTTTAAAACTGGTTTTTAACCGGGTGCACGAAGTGCGCATGAGCAAATGTAACACACCGAGGGTAATAATTGGCACCAAACGTTATTTGACGAGGGAGRCAGTCAAAATCATGACAGTGTAAGTTACGCTACGCATTCGCGACCAGTATAATGTCCAAGAAAAAAGGGAAATAGGCTCTGCTAGCAGGGAAGTACTAGTCAACGTCCTGCACTTTCTCTGACATTCAAGTATGCACCAAAAGTTTTCTAAATTCTTATCATATTCCACTTACTCCCAGTGTATTATTTTTTGGAAGATTCTGATGAAATGAAAGTAAGAAAACRCACACACCAGCATCTTCATTGTGACTTCTGCAGCCAGAGTCAGCATTTCCCCATCCAGGGTGAGAACAGCTATGAAGTGAGGCATCTGTACCAGTACATGACATTTCATCTAGCCACACTGGTCCCTTTCCTCGTCCAARGTGCCAAAATCTTAAATCTTTGGTGAAACCAAGTTGTCTACAAGCAACTGTTGCGTCATTCATATCCCAGTCATCGTCACAGATCGTTCCCCATTTACTTATGGTTGGCCATCTCTGGTAAAATGTTTTATCAACCTCTCAATTATGGTTCTTYTTGTCGAAGGCTGGTGCTACATAATCGAACACAGGGTCCCCTTTGAGGTAATTTGCACCAATTTTTATCCATACTTTTTTTATTTTGGTGATGTGTTTTGTCTTTCTAATTCGGTCAAAGATYTAAGAATTATTCACGACAATAAACTCGYAGATCGTGTYWKATCAGGTCTCGACTACCTCTCGCGCTTGTAAACCCAATAAAACACTCCTGCATCACGTTATTTTGTCAATATAGACATATACAAATATAACTACTTCTTGGGAATATATTCCTCTGCTCTGTAGTTTAGTTGTATTTGCAAAAATCTAGGGGTATTGGAGAAAACGAGTTTACAGTTACCTACCGGTCTACTACAATGGTACATGGTGAAGATTGTGTAATAATAGGTAGGACATGACGGAAGCCCAAATTGCAAAAAGAAAAAGTTTTCAAAACACTTCAGCGGTCGTGATAAATGATGACGGTTCTTTCTACTACGCTTACAGRTTGAGTAAACGTTACTTGAATATAGAATGATTTTACTTTATTGTTTACAAAGTTGTATAACTAGTGACTCACACTCAAGTATATAAAACGAAGGAAAAAAACTGGAATTAGTGTCTTCCACTATATATTATTCTGATTTTTTCAMAGGCCAAGTAAAATAACTATATCAGTGATTTTGCCACCATGAACAGTTTTCCTCCTGTTTTTCACATTTYGCTAGTCTTTGCAAACCACGCATAGATGCAGAAGAAGACTTTTTTATATTTCTTCTGTCGCTTTAGCTTTTCTATTCACTATTTGTGCTATTATTTAGCGCTACATTTAGTTTATTATTTGCGAACAAATGTATATACATAAATGAAAGCGCGTCTACCACAGGTCTACCATAATGGTCAATAGGGAACTGTCTATGATGATGCCTGGGATATTAATGAAGCAACGTGATGAAATTTTTTTCATCTAGTCAATTTGTTTTAAACCAAAAGTTTAGGACGTTTAGGTCTATACTAGCCGTGGTGGCATTGGATAGGTTTACCMTGATCAAACTATATTAAACATATAYGATTTAATATGTTAGAGAACTGTAGAATTTTCTAGCAGAAAACACTAACAACTAGGTGAATAAAAAAGGGKRGGGGGGRRACCCTAGTTTGTAAATATATATGTTGAATATATGAAATTTACTACTCGTTATGCTACCAAATATATATCAAACCGGATGAATTTTAATGAAAGTGTTTAAGKTGTTTCATTATGGACAATGGGGAACGGTCTGTGACGATGCCTGGAGTATGAATGACGCCAAAGTTGCATGTAGACAACTTGGTTTCACCAAAGCTTTAGGACCTTGGTGGGGAGGTCGAGGGACGGGACCAGTCTGGTTAGATGACATGGCATGTACAGGTACAGAGACCTCACTTCAAAGCTGTTCTCACAAAGCATGGGGAGTCCATAACTGCAACAGTAACACTGAAGCTGCTGGTGTTGTGTGTTTAATATTGCGACATTAAAAACCATAAGTTATGATATACAAAAAAATAGATAACATGCCGTTTATAGGTTCGGAAGCCTAACTTCTGGCCTATCGTCAAGATGGGGAGTTCATGACTGCCGAAGCAGTGAAGCTGCTGGTGTTGTGTGTTATGGCAGAACAATCCAATCTAGCATGATGTCATTTCGCCGCTTACTTAACATACTAACATCAAATTACGACCACTGCATATCGTAAGCATAAAACCATGAAATTAGTGGGCTAGATGRAAAATAGCTAATTGCTATCAGCGTTCAAGTTTATGTCTTTGTTTAACAATTGTGATAAAAAATTACCCCCACTGTTATCGCACATCTAGCTTTTGGAATTCAACCGTTTTTTTTTACTCACTCAAAAGCGCATAAGTCAWTGACCAGGGGCCAGTTATCTTATTTCATTGCTTTGGTTTTTTTTTATAGAATTTGTTTTGCCTTGCACTAATGTGCGTCACAATCTATGATAATGCCTGGAATATGAAACATTGTCATAAAGTACATCGATGCTTTAATTGTCTTTTGCATTGAAAATGTGAAAGTTAAATTGTCTTCCAAAAAGGCAGGCTTTTGGTTGTTGTTCTTGTTTTTTGGTTGTTTTGATTGCTAGACAATACATGTGTTAGAAACTTAGTATTGCCGCCAGAGTCTACGTTTTCCCATTCATGGCCAGTACGTAGAGCTTCAAAGTGAGACTTCTGAGCATGTACATCGAATGTCGTTCAGCTAAACTTCTTGTAGACAACACACAACACCAGCATCTTCAGTGTGACCATTAMAATTGGAGCTAACAGATCCCCAACTATAGTGAGAACAGCTTTGAAGTGAGGCATTTGAACCTGAACATCTAATACCATCTAGCCAGAGTGCTCCCGTCCCTCGTCCCCAGTACAAAATTCCTAACATTTTGGTATAGCAAAGTTGTCTACATGCAACCAGGGCATCCTCCAAATCCCAGTAATCATCACAGACGGTTCCCCACTGCCTATTGTAGTAAACTTACTAGTATGCGGTAATGATACTTTATGTRAAAAGTTATTATTAACGCATARGWAACTTATTCTAACARGTCTAGCAACTGGTTTTGTACCACRTATTGGATTASTTGAATTTAAATATTTTATTGYGCTGCTCTAATAAYAGGACACAGAAATWTATCTAAATAAATGCGATCTAATTCAATTAAATCTCGTTAAAATACGATTACGCAAACCAATTCAACGCAATTATGAACATCTATAGTAGCAATTACCAGGCGGTTCCTTTTTGATTTTTGAAAATTAATAAAAGCACAATACATCTGCCTCATTTTCGTAAACTGTAACCACACCAACAACGGTGAGAACCACTCTGAAGTGAGATCACTGTGCCTGTAGACAACATTTCTAGTGTGACCGTTGCACCAAGAGCTTACACTTCCCCATCMAGCATGAGGACAGTTTTGAAGAGAGGCCTCGGATCCTGTACATCCCATGTCGTCTAGCCAGACTGGTCCCKTCCCTCGTCCATACCACCAAGGTCCTAGAGTCTTGGTAAAACCAAGTTGTCGACATGCAACCTTGGCTTCCTCCATATCCCAGTAATCTTGACACACTGTTCCCCATTGACTATTGTGGAAGGTGACTGATACTACCACATAACACATGCTCTTATTTTAAAGAACGTTGCAAAATGTCATGACAATTTCTTTTCATTCAATTTCTCAATCCAATACYTGAGGCCTGTTATAAAGAGCAGAACAGATGCGTCACCAGCATCATATTAATAAATGAGCATTTAAGCAATTGTAATTGATCAAGTCTACCTAAATGGTCAATGAGGAACCGTCTGTGATGATAAATGGGATGTGAATGACGCCACAGTTGCATGTARACARCTTGGTTTCAACAAAGCTTTAGGACTTTGGGAGGAAGGTCGAGGGATGGGACCAGTCTGGCTAGATGACATGGYATGTRMAGGTACAGAKGCCTCACTTCAGAGCTGTTCTCACCCYGGATGGGGGAATGCTGACTCTAGCTGCAGAAGTCACAATGAAGATGCTGGTGGTGCTGGTGTTAATGATCTTTGCCATTTTTACCTTTTAAGGTCAGCATCGCAGTTAGAATCCCCCCCCCCATCGCGATCCTCCAAGATCTACGCTAGAATATATATCTCTCAGTAAAAGTAGAAACAAAAATAGGATCGCACTTGTTTTGGAAGTTGCTGAATAATTTTCTAGAAATATTAAAACCCAAACAATTTCACCATTTTGCCATTTTGTCTTGATTGGTAACCATTACTACACTTGTCACCTGGATTATGCGTTAGGTTATATCAGGTGAAATCTTTTCCATACGTACTTTGTTACAATTGTAGGTGTTATAATTAATCGTTTTTAAATTGTTCGACAGAAAAAACATTATTTAAAAAAACGGTAACCATTGTTGACATCCTAGCGAGGTACAGAATATACATCTATGCTCGTATACATCTATGCTCGTAGCATTTGCAGTGCCGGGGTTTCGAAAAATCTTTGAAGCGATTCACTGACGGGTTGTCCTCTTAAATTAGGGGTGCTGTTAAATTTTTGGAGTATCCCGATGAAAGATCCTTACCGTGATCTTAATTGCGATCCTTACTTTTKTCTTGTCTGCTGTTTTAGTTTATCTCGTGACTAATACTGCGATATTAAAAAACGATAGTTGTTATACGTAAAAAGAAAACATGGGATATAAAGTATCAGAGTTCTCTCTTCAAGCTTTTCATTACGATAAATTTCACTCTTCAGGATTTTCATTACGATAGATAGGAAGTTCGAATCACACCAAAAAATTAACTGGATGAAACATAATTAAGATATATAATCACTATATAACTATATAGTGATTAGACTATAATCTATAATAATATATAATCTATAACCACTATATCTAATCACTATATGAGCTCTGAAGTGTTAGATTGTAGATCTTGTTGCAAGGGCTACAAGCAAGATAATAATCTCGATGTTGGATGTTTTGTCGTCTAACTCAATTGGTTTAGCGAGATGATGGTAATGCTGAGAATGGATTTGTTTTAGTTTTTTTTTGTTCTCGTAGCTTAACATCCAGAGTAAAAAATGTCGGTTATCATCATGGCTGATAGGGTGTAAATTGCGTTGCAAATTGCCATTCGTAACTACTCGTAGCCAATCTATTTTCCAATGTATTTTACTGCTTTACCTCTAGCAAACCCTATATTTAAAATTTAGAATTTGAAACTCTAAAAGTTAAGTTCAATTCTAAGACTTTGGAAAAAAATAGCCCCTTTGAAAATAAATTTAATATTTGTTTCTCAGGTAATTACCGGYAATTACTCAGGYAATAAGCRGTGACATMGATCTAAAACATCATTTRTAATCATACATCTAACCATTATATCACTTAATTTTATAGTAATCAATTRCTAGATGTCTTTTCWARGTAYTTTAGTTMATCAACTATTCATCTATATTAAACCCATATCGCACCAGCATCCTGAGTGTGGTCGCAGTTAGAGCTAACAACTCCCCATCCTCTGTGAGAACAGCTTTGAAGYGWGGGCTCTGTACCTGTACATGCCATTTCATCTAGCCAGACCGGTCCCTTCCCTCTTCCATACCACCAAAGTCYTAAAGCTTTGGTGAAACCAAGTTGGCGACATGCAACTTTGGCATCCTCCATACGCCAGTTATCATCACAGACCGTTCCCCATTGACTATTCGAGAGATTGGTAGAGCTTTACAATACCATCAACGAATTAATTAACTTAATTTTACTTTTAAAAAAATCGTCTAACGCTGTGAAAAATAATTAGTTGATTTAAGGATTTCTATTACATAACAAGAACGAAAATGTAAACTAATCTCATCGGTGAGTRTTCCATCTGCATAACTATATCCACTTCACTTTAAGAATACCTCTTTKTGTACGTTTAAAATTCGTAAGTGCATCTTAAAGAGCCGTACACATCTTTATGGTACGGCATTCAAAACAAGCATAACGATTAAATGATATACTAAAACAAAAACCAAAGAACACTACACCAATTGCCCATGTGTGACCGTTAGCGTTTCCCCATCCATCGGACAATAGTGTGCAAGTGAGGACTCCGAGCCTGTGCACTGCAAGTTGTACAGTCATATTCTTCCCGTTCCATGTTCATGGTACCAAAGCCCTATAATTTTGGTTAAATCTAGTTGACGACATGGTACGTTGGCCTCATTCACATTCCATTTACCTACACAAACTGTTCCCCATTCCCAATTAAGGTTGCTACAGACTAGGGGTGATGTCCCATATAAACATAAAGCAGCGACCAAAATATGCTCAAACTTAGGAAAATGGCGGGGAGTGAGGGGGAGGGGTGGGAGCAATAAGGAAATACCAGCAACAAATTACCAACACAYATACTAAAAATCACGCATTTAAATATTTTGGTATGACTATTGGMCAATTAATAGGCTATGTAGGTAATGAACTATAAAATAGAACAAATCTAAAAAACAACAAAATCCAGATTATTACTATAGAAGTCTTTTMTAGTAATCAATGGGGAACCGTGTGCAATGATGGCTGGGCCGTAGAGGAAGCCAAAGTTGCATGTCGACAGCTTGGGTTTACGAAAATGGAAGGGTATTGGCGTTATGGAACAGGAAAGGGTTCTGTCTGGCTGAACTGGATGAAATGTACAGGAACAGAAACTTCACTTCAAAGCTGTTCACACGGTGGATGGGGTGGTCATAGCTCTGACTGCAATACTCACAACTACGATGTTGGTGTCTTGTGTTTAGGTTGCGGTTCTCTTACAATACATGCACTAAATGGTATTGAGTCTAAAACTGAACAGTGTATTTATATGGCAGTTATATACAAAAACAGTTCTGTCCATATATTAATGTCCTKGTAATGAATGAAGAGCATTTGATATAATTTTCTGGAACACAAAACGTACTTGATTGGAGGTGTAAACGAAAATCTAATATACCAGCAATTTTTATATGTACCGAAAGAAGCGGTATTGAATAGCATCAAAAAGTCTAACTGCAARCAAGCGGTAACATTATGCGTGAATGTTCCTTTATACAATAAAAATGAATTATGTTAGGAACTTATAACTACATTTTATGTTATTTTATCTTATTATCATTAAGTTATAATATAATGAATAATATAGTGAATTCTAAACTCATAAATAAAATAAATCAAATGCTCCTGGATCTTCTACCTAATAMAAAATCTAGTATAGAAWGTGTATCACAGSCATAACCAAAAAACAMAACACCAGCATCATCAGTGTGGCTGCCACAGTTATGRAYTCCCCATCCATYGTGACGACAGGCCTGAAGTGAGGTCTCTGTACCWGTACATGCCATGTTATCTAGCCAGACTGGTCCCTTTCCTCGTCCATAGTGCCAAACYCCTATAGTTTTGGTAAAACCAAGTTGTCGACAAGCAACTTTGGCTTCCTCCAYATACCAGCSATCATGACACACTGTTCCCCATTGACCCTTGTGACATGAGAGAAGCAAAAGTGCGCAATAATAAGAACAAGTGTAACGATATGTATGAAATATATGATAGATGAAATATTAATATTTTAACATGATCAGCCTTATATTCCTTTTTTCCTTTATTCAAAGYTTAGCTCTAAAAATAACATTGAATTTGATCATTTTATGGAAAATGCGGTATATAAGTTAAAATATATATAAACTGATATAATAATTATTAATGAAAACCTTATTTTTCATTATTTTAGGCTTACAACATATTTTGGCAAACTGAATAGGCTATGCAGGTTAACACAATACAAACAAGACAAAAAAGGAAAATGAGAAGCTGAGAAATAAATGACAAACAATATTGTTGGTTAGTAAAGGTTAGTGGTTAGTAAACCACCACACCAGCATCTTCGGTGTGATCACAGCCCCCAACATTTCCCCATCCTCTATGAGAACAGCTATGAAGTGAGGCCTCTGTACCTGTACATGCCATGTCATCTAGCCAGACTGGTCCCGTCCCTCGTCCCTCGTACCAATGTCCTACAGCTTTGGTAAAGCCAAGTTGTCGACAAGCAACTTTGGCGTCATTCACATCCCAGTAGTCATCACAGACGGTTCCCCATTGCCCAATTTGATATATTTGTATCAAAAAAAAAAAAAAAAAAAAAAGTTCCACGCAGTTGGATCGACCCGGATAGGCTCGGTGAGTGTGGCTCATGATACTTGTAAACAATCGACAAGTTTTGGCACCTTTTGAATTACACACGCGTGTAAATGATGTCAACGTGTTTGATTGACGGCAATCTATTGCAAATTTCACGTCGAGATTTTTATCTGGAGAGGCCGCGTAGCAMTGCAAATGGCGGTAATGTCTTTAATCTTGTAGTTTTTAACTTAATCCGTGAATAAACCTTGAACTTGATACGCATCTGATGTGATYGTTGATTACAAAGTGAAATGAATTACAAGATATGTAACAGTAAGTATTAAGAATTTTTTCTTGAAATATTCCTGAACTAAACTTGTAGTAGYAATATTCCAGTTGCGAGTTCTCTGTTGCTCAATGTTGACCTCAAGTTTGGATGGAATACTCATTTGTTCAACTGATGGTCCGTGRAAATTCTAAGTGTTTGTATTGTTAAAGTTGTGCATTCTTCAATTTGCCGTTGGTATTTGTGAATATTCAGACACTGTACGATCGACGAGGTTAACCCTGAGTAATTAAGTCTGTAATCAAGGATCGCAGCATTAATTTGGAACCCGAATTTGGTATATCAAAGACGGCGCCACGAGACTATGAAATTAGTAGTAACGTACGTGTCTACCACAATGTTACATGGGGAACGGTGTGTCACGATTGGTGGGACATGAAAGAAGCCCAGGTTTCATGCCGACAACTTGGTTTCACAAAACCTTTAGGACCATGGCGCGATGGACGAGGAAATGGTAAAATCTGGTTGGACAACATGGATTGCACTGGGTCGGAGGCCACACTTCACACCTGTTCTCATCTTGAATGTGGAGTTTCGGACTCTCTCTGCAAAACTCACAGATATGATGCAGGTGTTGTGTGTTCCAGCCAAGCGTGAGTGGGAGAATCATATTTTCTTAATAGTTTTTGAATTCATTAAGTGAGTTATTGCGTTATAGTATAATGCAACTATACTACAAAATGTACAAAGAAAGGTACTAACTACCTCAATAACTTACACTATTGAGGTCGTAAGATTCTCTTTATTATTCGAAATTCGATYTCAAGCTTGTTYGGAAACTYGCATTAACTAAACGAACTYTYAAAAATTCAAATCCCGGCATTATCTCAAAATGGTCATTCAATTGTTTGTGAATAGACTTCTTGAACGAAGCATCACACCACAGAGATCAGTTTGAAATGGTAGCTACAGCAATTGAAAGAATATTGGTTTTGAACGAATCTGTGAAGAACTAAAGCAATTTTCAAAGCGCTTCTCAATTACACGCGGGAAATCGTAAAGATTTCTATGCCGACAAAATAAGGTTTTGGYGGACGTCAACYAMAGTGTTTCGGAAAACRCAAAGCTATAAAGGGTACGTCCCAATGGGAATCTGTAATGACTTCTGGAATGTGGAGAATGCYATGKYTGTATGTAGACAACTTGGTTTCACYAAAACTRTAGGTTACTGATACTATAAACGAGGGACGTGTGTTCTGGTTATTTTTTAAATCTATATGCCAGAAGTACTGTATGGCAATGCCAGTATGACAGTTAGAACTACAAAGGTTTTATATTTTAGTCTGAACTCCAACAAATTCATATGAGTGTTTATGCTACATCAATAATGCTATTCACGAGTATCGTTAACATTTCAACTCTTGTGGAATAAAGATGAATATTGTTGTCTTCCTAGATTTGGCTAATGGCTATTGTACTTATGTCAACAAATTCAACCAAGTTACCAATCTGTAGATGATGGCTAGTAAACACTAGCGTGGACTGCGTCGGTGTTTCTAATGAAACAGTTATCGTAGATTGATAAGTCTTACACCGTAGTGAAAATGGGAACTGACGTTAACGGTGTAAAACTACGGTGTAAAACTTATCAATCTACGATAACAAGTTACCAATCGCTCTGACACCAAGTCATCACTAAGCAAGAAAAAAAGCATTGTGCTATGTCAACTTCTGATAGTGTATTCCACTATGTAGTGATGTWTAATAAGGAACAGTTTGTGGTGACTGGAATAACTGGGATATGAATGATGCCAAGGTTGCATGTCGTCAACTTGGCTTTACCAAAACT